TTTTAAAAGGCCAATTAGGTATTTATTTGAGATTTTAGATGGATTTTAAAAGGTCCATTAGATATTTATTCAAGATTTATTAAAAATTTTAACAATTTTTACAATGTAGTATAAGATTAATAAAGAATTACATATATTTCTAATTTAATTGGGTTTCAACCTCTTAATAGATTTTCTTTAAGAGATCCATTGGGTATTTACGTGAGATTTTAAAGGAAGTTTAGAAGATCTATTGGGTATTTTTTATTAATTATTTGAGATTTTAGAGAGATTTTAAAAGGACCATTAGGTATTTATTCATAATTTATTGAAAATTTAACAATTTTTGTAATATTGTAAGATATAAGTAAAAATATAAATTATCCCTAAATTCTTTTTTTTTTTTTTTTAGAAGAATGATCTTGTATTGATAATTGAGGTAAAGCATTACAAAGGATCTCAACCTCAAACAGTGGCGAAGCCCAAAAATATTTTTTAAATTTGTTAGTTTTTAATGATTAACTAATATTAATTGATAGTATATTATTATAGATATTACATCAAATGAAAGATAAAATAAACATATATTGAATAGAATAATACTATTAAACAGAAGGGAAGTGATTCATGCACACTACCAATCAACACCCAACTCATCACACACACGTTTCAAAAGGAAAAAATAATATTTTATTTTGATATGTGTTTATTCTTAACTTATTTGGAATAGTTTGAAAACTTGTTTTCTCAAAGGTAGTAAATACCCTTGTCTTCTTTCTCATGCTTTCTTTCTCCTCCTTGCTTTTCATTTTCCCCTTTTCTTTACTGCATCTAAATGACTAGGTGAAAATGGATTTCTTAACACTTTTCTAGCTTATCAATGGCACTCGATTTCATTTTGCCTTTTAGATTTGATTAAAAACAAATACTAAAAGAACTTCTTAATTTTAATTTTCTTATCACTTTCTATTTACTTCACTCAATCTCGTCGGCATACTTGTCAAAATTGGTTCTTTTTTGCTTCTCTCAATCAATGATCCTTTTGAAAAGGTTTGCTTCTTTTGCTAGTCATCTTCCTCAACTCAGTTTCTTCACCATTCCTCCTGTTATGCTAGTGTAAGTAATGGAGAGGTATTGTTCCTCTCGTCCAATTTTCTTTATATTAAAGTTAAAATTAAGAGATTAAAGTTAATTATTTGGGCTTTTTCTAGGCATAAAAGGGGCAATTTTTCTTCATAAATGTAAAGGTTAAATTTAATAAATAGTCAGAAATCCCTTCTCTTTCCCAGATCTATCTCATCTCCAACACAAGAACGAAAATGAGAAAAATCCGTGACTTTTTTTTCAAATCTTAGTTGGAGATCTAGCTTGATTTTGCCAATCTATAAAATAAGAGAGGAATTCAACCAAACATTTAGAAGAACACAGCAAGTACAGACAGAAAGATGGAAAAAAACAATCATTTGAAACCCATAAAATTCAAGACTATTCTTTTTCAATTGCAAAATAAATCCCTCATCTTTCTGGGTTAGTCAATCTCAAATCCCTTTACCTCAACATTCCAACAATATGGATCTTTGTGGTGAAGAAATTGAAATGGTGGTGCTGGTTTTGGCGTTGGTTTAGAGGAAAAAGGCTGCAATGATGGGGAAATTAGGGGGTTTTTGTGGGAGGGAGAGCGATTAGGTACTCTAGTGTTTTTGGGATCCAAGAGTTTAGATCTAGGTGCTAGCTAAAGCAAAAAAAGAAATTGAAAATGTTCATATCTAATAAAAAAAGAAAAGCTAGATCCAAATGAGATGAAATCAATGGTTACTAGTGGGTGATGAGTACCCAAATCGTGTGACAAGTACCCAACACTACTAGAAAGTTGACTATTTCGGTCAAGTAATTTTTTTACCCAAAAAACAAATAATTCGGACAAATTGAATGACCGAATATCATATTTGTCTGCAAAAAATAAAAAAAAAGGTATATAATTTAGTCCAATTTTACTTCGGTTAAGCCACTTGACAGAAATAATTTGGTGCCAAGACAAATCGGTCAAGTGGCTTGACCAAATTATGTAGTAATAGTTTATTCGATCAAGCCACTTGATTGAATAAAAATAGGAAAAAATCTACTATTATTTTATTTTAAAAAATAAAATAAAATATTATTAATTCGGTTAATAAAATTGACCGAAATAAAGTTCTGAACCAATTTGACATGTTAAGCCACGATTCTGAAATTGAAAGAAGCATGGGAAATGAGCAAATGAGATTTTCTGCATGTTTCGATCAGGGCTTAATTCAATTTTTAATCTATTAACTATCACCTTAATTTCATTTTAGTCTAGAAACTATATTTTATTTCTAAGTGGTTTATTAACTTTCAGATTCATTTCAATTTCATCTACTTGGTCAAAGATAACGGAAAACTTCCTATTCTGTTAGAGAACAGTTAGTCCTCTAACTATATTTTTTTTTATCTTTTAGTCCTCAAATTTATATTTGTTATAAAAATAGCTTTTATACTTAAAATTATTATTTTTAGGTTATGATACCAGATTTTTATACTTAAAATTATTATTTCTAAGTGGTCTATTAACTTTCAGGCTCTGATACCAAATTAAAGAAATGGGATAACCCGTATAAAAATCTGGTATCAGAGCCTACAAATAATAATTTTAAGTAAAAATGTTATTTTTATAACAAATATAAATTTAAGGATAAAAAGATCAAAAAAAATATAGTTAGAGGACTAACTAATTCTCTAACGAGATAAGAAGTTTTCCGTTATCTTTGACCAAGTAGACGAAATTGAAATGAATTTGAAAGTTAATAGACCACTTAAAAATAAAACATAGTTTCTAGACTAAAATGAAATCAAGGTAATAGTTAATAGACTAAAAATTAAATTAAGCCTTTCGATCAGTGTGCCTAACTAAAACAAGCATGCTTCTTTCAATTTCAGCTGAGCATGGCAAATCTGATTAATTTATTTAAAATTACACATAATTATAATTACTTGATTAGTAAATCATAATTACAAATTTAATTATTAAGTAAGCTATATGGTTAGTTAAATTAATTAATTAATTAAATCAATTAACTTATTATAAAATTTTGGATTATATTATTTAATTGATTGGTAAATAATGATCATATTAATTAATTGATTGATTTGTAAATTATGATTATTAAAGTAGATGTATTATTTTTTGTGTGCGGAGATGAATTTTTTTAATATAAATTCAAGGAAATATTTCACATGATGAGAGATCGAAATTATCATTATTAAAGTTGATATTTATATCAAAAACATCTTTTACTATTATATAAGAATTGACATGTATGAGATTAGGATATAGTACTTTAATTAGTACTTTAGGTCATGACACTTTAATTATAATATTAGGTTATGTTTTTATATTTATGTGTTTCTAGATAAAATTTTCAATTGCATGTTTTAATATATGTTTAAAACATACTGCTAATTAATTGGTAAAATTTTTATATTATATTACTTATAAATTTTAGATAAAAATTTTTGAAACAAATTAAATAAAAAAGAGGAAACTGATATATCATTCTGGAGAAAATTCAAAAAAAAAAATTCATCTTTAATTCGGTCACGTGGCTTGACCGAACTAAGCTGTACAAAAATAATAATAATAATAATAATAATAACCCTTTATCTTCCTAGAGACCCATATATCATTTCTATAAAATTCAAAAAAAAATTCATATTTAATTTGGTCAAGCTACTTGACCGAAATAGGAAAAGAATTATTTCGGTCAAGTAAATAAGCTCCCAAAAAAATAAAATAAATAAAAAATAAATAAACCCTTTATCTTTGCTAGAAATTTTGGGGAAATTTTTGAATCTCCCTCTACATATAATTCGGTCATGCAGACTGACCGAATTGATGAAAAAAACTCACCTTGCCATTTGAATTTTTTTTGCGAAAATGTTTAAATTTTTGGCTCTTTTATTTTGGTCAATAATACTGACCGAAATAACTACCAGCCTATATATATCTCACCCCAAACTCTTTTTCTCACTTCTACAACTTCACTTTCATTTCTCTCTTCCTCTCCAATTCCCTTCCAATATGTCTTTCTTCGCCAACTTCAATATTTTTCTTTACCTCTTATTTATTTAACTTTCAACAATTCTTTTCAATTTTTCATAGTTTCTTCTTGATGTCTTCATCTCTTTTTTTCATTGTCCATAAATACTCTTATATCTCTCATTTATAGTATTTTATTTTTAAATTTTACTCATATTCTTCATATATTTTTCTTCAAAATTAATACTACCATCTGATTTGTAAATTTTAATTTTTTAATTATGTAAAATTATCTTTAATTTTATGTAATCTTATGTTTTTGATATTTTAATTATATATTAATGATTTAAATTTTGATCATTTTCAGGGTGTTCCTTAAGTTGGTAAACATGATGAGGCAACATTTTAGAGGTGATTTTATTACATTATTCAATATTTGTCCTCAAATTATTATTATTTTATATATTTTGTTAACTTATTTCCATATTTTCATTTAATTGTATGTTTTAACTTATTTGTGCTTATATATATTAATTTGACTTATTTATGTATTTAAGTTGGTTTCTTGTTGCGAATGCTAGCATTTTTGGGTTCTTTTCATTTTTTTTATATTTCTAGAAATATAATCATAATTGTAATTTAAAATTATAAAAAGCTAAATAATTAAATAAATAGGAATTGTATATTGATGATGTTAAAAT